CGCAGCGTGTGCAGGGGCAGCGTCCCGCGGGGCATCTCCCCCAGGTGCCAGCGCTTCAGGTAGGCCTCGTCCAGGTCCTTCTCGGCTGCGGAGGGAGAGGCGCAGAGGTCAGGCCCCGCCGCCCAGAACCTTCCCCTCCCGGGCTTACCTGCANCCCACGGGGACCCCCCGTCACCCAGAACGCCGGGGCCATTGGCCGGGACAGGGACACTAGGATCACAGCAGGCTCCGGCCCCTGCGCCACGCTGGGCAGGCGGATGTGGGGACTGTTTGTGCCTCGGGTGAGCTCTTCTGGGAACAGAGTCCAGCCCTTGCTTCTGAGGCCTCCCCCCTCCTTCCTTGGCGCCTTTCAGGCTTGGAGGGCGACCCTCGGCGGGCCGGGAAGTCAGGTTTATGAGGCTGGCATTTTGAGAAAGGAAACGCGATGGACAATCCTGTGCGTCGGGAGCCGGCACAGGGGACTGCGGGCGAGCGCCGGCGCGCACACTCCAGTTACGCGTGTTATTGAAATATTAATGGGCGGAGTGACGCAATCCCTGAGATTTGTTTAAAAATAACCTGCCGAGCCCTGGCTGGCGTGCCTCAGTGGTTGGAGCCTCGGCCCACACACCAAAGGGTTGCGGGTTCGATTCCGGGTCAAGGGCACCTACCTGGGTTGCAGGTCTGATCCCCGCCGGGTCAGGTCAGGGCACGAGCGAGGCAGCCAATCAGCGTGTCCCCCTCACGCCGGTGTTTCTCTCTCCGCTCCCCCCTCCCTCTCCCGCCCTTCCTAAAGTCAACGGAAAAAATATCCTCACTCTTAGAGGATTAAAAAATAATAATAATCCACCGAAAGACAGGGTGGAGGGTGGATTCTCTCCTTTTGGGTATGTTTGAAAATGTTCTTTTATAAAGAGAATTTTAATAAAAATTTATTTGAGCCAGAGGATACACCAGGAAGCAAAGTCGCAACAGACTGAGATAGATGCTCCCAAAAATGTTCTTAATAACAAGTCTAAAGCTCTCCTGGGTTTAAAAATGTGCAAAATATACATGGGTCATAATATAAAAAGCATTTCTTACATGGCTCTCAGCTTAAGATGTTTGAAGGACAAGCCACTGCCAGGGACAGGCCACTGAGCCAGAAATGTCCGGTCAGAGCAGATGATTGGTGCAGGGCGCGGGGGCGTAGCTCAGACCAGAGCAGGGGCTGGGGACACAGGCGCCGACTGGGGGGCTTTTTTTTTTATCTTCCCCCCAGGATATTTTTCCGTTGCTTCTCAAGAGTGGAAGGGAGCGGGAAACATCAGCGTGCGAGGTTCACATTGAGTGGCTGCCTCCCGCACCTGCCCCTACCCAGGCCTGCAACCGAGGTCCGTGCCCCTGGCTGGAAGTGAGCCCGGGACCCTTCCGTCCAGAGGCTGGCGCTCTAGCCACTGAGCCAGACTGGCCAGGGCATGAATTTACATTTTTAAAAGCACCCCAGGTAATTCTGATGGTAAATTACTTCAGGTGATTCTGGAACGAATTTGGAGAAGAACCTGAGGGAGGCTCTAAAGCGTTAGAGGGCTGCTGGGACACTGTCCACGGTCCTGAACCCAGGCCCTGGCCGAGACCCCGCCCCGCCGCTCCGGCGGCCTTCGGGGACTCACCCAGCCTCTTGAGGGAGGAGTAGCGGTTGAGTTCAGATTTTACAGCAGCCTCGTAGGACGGAGGCAGATGCGAGAGGTTGTGGAAAGACCGAGAGCAGGAGAGTGTGGAGTAATGCAAGTTGGGGCTGGGCGGTGGGCCGGCCCTCCAGTCTGCGACAGAGAGCACAGCTGGGGTCAGTCCAGCCGCTCCTGCCGGAGACCCAGGAGTCCCCGCCCCAGCCCCTTGGGGATTGTAAATCTGGGATTCCAGCCCCTCAAAGCTCCCGCTGCCCCGGCTGCTTCTGCTCACTCCCCCCACGTCAGGAGACAGGCTCTTTGCTGGGGACGGAGAACACGTCACGGTGCCCCAGGCTGGGGGTAGACTCCATCTCCCCACTAGTGTGGGTGGGAGATGACCACTTCCAGTGTCCAAACGGGGAAGCAGCGGTTCGCCTGGCTAGACTATAAGGACAGGCTCACAGGGTCTCACACCTGCTCTACCCCAGGCACTAGCTCGGGCGGAATCAAGAGTGGGAGGGAAAGGAGCCCTGTTGTGCCCAGCCCAGCCCTGGTTCGTACCCAGCGTGGTGGTGTGGTGCTTGGGGCTGTTGACATTGAGGTGCAGGTAGTTGTGGTGCAGGTTATCTGTGGGGACCAAGAAGGGAGCTGGCATCACCACATCGTCCACTCCCAGCTGGCGCCGCTGTCCTGGTCTCATGGAAGGCTCCCCACTCACATCTGCCTGGTCCCCAGCTCTGGTCCAGCGTGCCTCCTGAATCTCGGCCCTGACCTGCCTCTCCCTCCTGGATCATCAGACCAGCCTTCTGGCCATTGGCCAGCCATGTCCAAGGTCAGCCCCACCCGGTACTTCTACACCCACACCTGCCCCTCTGCGGCTCGATATTCTTCTCATGTCTCGTCACCACCCGCCAGGGACAGTCTAAGCCGGCAGTGGCATTTGAGGTCTGTTGACTAGGCCCCAGCTGAGGTCTGCAGTCTCATCTCCCACCCCCTCCTCTCAAGCTGCACTTCTCTCTGGCTTCTGAGGCAGCTCAGTCCCACCACAGGGCCTTTGCACATGCCTTTCTCTCTGCCTTGAATTCCTGCCTCCCCTTCTTTGCCCAAAGAACTACTCATCCCTCAAGGTCCAGCTCAGATGTCTTTCTTAGTACTGCTACTCAAAGCCAGCTCGGCCTGTCCTGGGTCCTAACTGCAGCCCTGTCAGGGAGCTCGGTAGCTTCTCATCTTACGGTGCGGACACAGGCTTGCCCCAGGCCACGCAGAGCAGAGCCCACCCGCCCGCACCCGCCCACCAAGTTCTAACTCAGTCGGGCCCTGGCCTGTCCTTCCTGTTGGGTGGTCTGACACGAGGTGGTCAACTGCAGGGGCTGACAATGTCCAAGTCTTAAGTCATCGTGGTGTCGGGGGTGCCACCCAGGGTGTCCACAGGAGGCGGGGCGAGGTTCTCACCCGGAGGCGGGAGGCTGCGGCTG